TCCTTCTCTATCTTTTCTTTTCGCACTATTTTAGACGAATAGACGAAGGTATATATATATATATATATATATATCCCGAGATTCCACCGTGGATACATTATCCAATCTAGCGGCGTAATTGAATAATTCGGAAGATGGCTCCCGGTAGCATCGGGGGCGGCTATCAATTCGGCAAACGGCCCCGCGTCTAATACAGACATTTAATCCATCGTCTATTTGTACTGATTTGAATTCGGGCTACGAGCGATCTCATTGTCTCGAGAATTGTCTTAGGGAGCAGTTTGCTCCTCGGGAAGACTACGGTTATTTCAGCTACGTCGGTGCTATCAGGGTAGCGGGCCGTGGATGAGGTTAGCGCGCGCCGCGCCGCGCCGCTCCGCGCGGAAAGGGGTCGTCTAGAGGCAATCGGGCTAAACTACGGACTCATTTACACACTTAGCCCCGCTTCCGCCTGGTTCGTTCCTACCCCAGCCCCCGGGAGAACCCAAATGGTTTTCATATTGTCTTTTTACCGCTCATTTTCATTTTATCGCTTGTTTGGCCTGCCGAGTCGCGTCGGCGTCCTCTCTCGCGGCCTTTTCATTCTCGTCGCTTCTCTCTCTCTCTCTCTCTCTCTCTCTCTCTCTCTCTCTCTTCTCTCTTCTTCCCTCCCGGCCGTACGCGCGCGCGCGCGCGCGGATTTGTATTCGACGAAGGTGAACGGAATCGATTCGAGCGCTTGGCGGCCGGCTGTGCCGTCGCCGTTGCAGCTGATCATATCGCCGTGATTTTACATAAAACGCGCGAGCGCGTGCACGCGCGATATTATGTTTATTAGACCGTTGAATGCAATGAGCTCTCGCGCCCCCTCTGCCTCCTCTCCGTGCTCGGCGATACGACACGGGGAGGCTCCTACGTTATTTTTCAATTTATGCAGATTAGACCGGCGCATTTGAGAATTACGTGGCGCGCGCTGTACGAGAGAAGCGGGGGGACATCGGAGAAATTGCCGGGAAGTGTGCCATAAGCGTGCGTGGTATCGCGCGCGCGCGGCGATATCTTCTTTTTCAAGTCAAAACGCGAGCGCCCGTCGTCGGCGGCGGCATAACGCAGCGCCGACGAGTGGCGCGGGAGGGTGCCTGCCGCCGCACCGGGGAAAGCCTCGGTGGAGAAAAGCATCGTGGCGCTGTACACAGGGAGGGCTGGCGGCCCAGAACGGACCGCCACGAGCACTTAAGACTATTGTTTTCAATGTAATTGGATAGCTCCTGCTTTCCGTCTCTCCCTCCCACGGCCGTTTCCTCCCGCGCTTCCAGCAACTATCTCGAATCGCGCGGAGGGTGGAAAGCAGTCAGCCAGCCAGCCAGCCCCCACGTAGCTTCGACAATTATCTTGATTGTTTTATGCATACACCAACGAACCCCCCCCGCCCCCCGCGAGCGACTTATCTCCGGAGGAGGCAAACCGTAAAGGGAAACCGCGGTATCGTTTCGCCGAGTGCCGCCGCGCCATTTCCATCATTCGAGGGCGCGCTTCACCGAGCGAGACGTGTGCGCGAAGCAGCAACGAAGAGCAACGAACTCGGCGATTGTCACTTGTCAACGAACGCCGGCCGATTGGTCGCCTCGCGCGAGTTTCTTTGCCTTTCCCATTTTTTTCACTCTTTTTCCTTTTCGCGGACGCGTATGAAAAGAGTAACACGCGCGTACACACACGCGCGGATCCTCTCTCGGCGCTGGTATTGCGTACGTCAACTCTCCGACGCGCGCTGCATGTAAGGGGAAATTAACCGGTCGATCCCGAATCGCGATAATCGACCGGAGTCCGCATACCTCGGCAATCCCTGTCGCCGATATTCACTCGCGGCACCGCACCGCGCGCGCTCGCGTCGATCGCGTCGTCGAATCTGCAATTTAGCGCGCATCGATCCGCGTCGGATCACATGCTCTCTCTCTCTCTCTCTCTCTCTCTCTCTCTCTCCCGCGAGAACCCCGCGCGCCTCGCCCGGGAGATCGTCTCAATCCTCCTCTCCCGACGCGGCTTTATACGCGGCGTTAGATATCCGCGGAGAGATCCGATGGAAACTCTACGCCCAGACAATGCGCTCGGCCGATTTAATTAGGATAAGAATCGCTCGGATCGGATATACACCGGCGGGCACAATGGGGTGTACCGGGAGTGCGCGGAGGTAGAAGAGGGCTTGGGTAGCGCGGCAGGGGCGAAGGTAGGGAAAGGGGGACGAAGCCACGCTTCTGATGTATGTATACCGTGGCTCGCCTCCAAGAAACATGATACAGCGGACGAGGAGGGGCAGGAGGAGCAGGGGGGAGGAGAAAGAGGGATGGATCGCGGCGGTTTCCAAAAATACCGCAACGCTTCGGCAAAAAGTAACGACCAGCCGCGGAGTGAGGAGCCGAGGGGTGGGGGGCAGGCGGTGAGGCAAGAGAGGACGAGGGGGGGAAGGCGCGTAATGCCGCGGGCGCCACGTGCTAATTATGTAAAAATATGATGCGGTCCGGCCGCTTGCGGTGCGACCGCGGGCTCTTGCACGCAGCCGGATCCCTCCGTGCGCCGGTCGATGTAGCGCGGATCGGGCGTGAGTAACGTTCATTTTACGTTCAACTCTCTGTTTCCTTGGTGGATACGGCTGTCTCGTGATGCTCCTGGATGTTGGGGTGAATGTACGCACAGGGAGAGACACAGATTACGTTCAAATAAATGTCACTTGTTTCGAGTAGTCCGCAGGTCTACATCCGCCGGCGAAAATTTTTCCGTTTATACGAGGTATATTTTAAAGGATTATATATTAGTACGTGCGCATTAGCAATGTGAGTATGTTTTATTATGAAGCAAATATTTTCGGTTTGTCGTGAAGCTAATCATCGCTTTGCAGGAAGAAAAGCGATTATTGAATAATCGCGCGCTTCTCTCGGCGTGATGGAACGATTTGCTTCCCTCAACGTGAAGAATACGGAGAATGAGTCGAAGAAGTCGTGTCTCGGCCATTTGTACTCGATTTCGTCCGAGTAACGAAAAGAAAAAAAGAAAGTGGAGAAACATTCGGTTGCTCGTGAAAGCGATACTTAACGCGACTCGACGAGCGCGGCTTTCGTACGCATCGAGGATATTACATCGACGTGACAGCGTCGCGTGTTGCCGGTAGATCGTCTTCGGAGGGAACGTCTCCGCTGGGAGCGCAACTGTCGGCGGACTATTTACTTGTGAGACGATTACGTGATACTAATTTCATAATTGCGCCTAATGCGAGATTAAAATTGAGATGTGACTGCGCCCGCGGCCTCTTAATACGTCTCGCCGGGTGTAATGTAATTAAGAGCCAGCGGCGCTTTCCTCCGCGTCGTCGCGTCGCGTGCGCAATTTTTTAGCGCTCCTCGGGGCGCATGGAAATCACACGACGCCGTGGCCGCCGTGGACAAAAGTTTCTCCCGTGCGTCTCCCCGAACGGCTCCTGCGCGATCCATTTCGCTTATTAGCTGTCCGTTTCGCGCGCGAAGATAGTCTGCAACGGCTGGTCGCGTTACCACGCGGTGAATATTAATGGCGAGCGTCAACATCGCGCGGTGTGTGTCGCTCCGTATCAAAAACAGCCGCCTTGAACTTCGGCCACGAGTCGCCGCGCGAAGGTTAATGTCACACGCGGACAAAGATCGCCGCGGGCTTGATGCAGCGCGCAGGTGCGCGACGTCACACGCGCCTCGTACATCTTTCGCGAGGCTTTGGCACTGGGTTGACCGCGTAACAATATCGGAAAGATTCGGTCGCGGAGCGCGATATTAATGCGTGGCAGTAACTCCTCCGGAGTTAGAGCAAAGCGGCTAGAACGCGCCACGGATTTATACAGCTCGCGCGAGACACACCGTTGGAATATCCCCGCGCGCGCGGCGGGGCAACATAATTTATTATCTATCCGAAGTTGTGGAGCGCGCGGACACGGGGGACGATCCGCTTTCGATATTTCACCGCGCGAGTATCCCGCGCGGGCTCGAAATACGGCTCCGGTCCGTCGGCCGATAAACTCATTCGTCCGTTCGAATAATGAGAATAGCGACGGGAGAATGAAGTGTCTTCCGATGTATCCACGGAGGAAACACGCGTGATTCGCCGTCGGCGATCGGCGCGAAATGGACGCGCGCGAAAAATTACGCGAGATTCGACATTTCCTCTCCTCGACCATGTCGCTGTGCGTTCTCACGTCTCCCTCTCTCTCTCTCTCTCTCTCTCTCTCTCCCTCCCTCCTTCCCTCTCTCGCAAGGTTCCTTTTTCACGAAAGGGAATACGAGCATCGCGGCGCATCGCGTCGCGTCGTCGTGCGGTCGCAGCGCGAGCGCGCATCTGCGCCGATGCGACAGCGCGATAAAACGCGGTCGTCGGAGCATAGAAGGAGCTTTTTACCGAGTCGCTGCCGTCTTCTGCGTCTCCTCCTCCTCCTCCTCCTCCTGAGAGTCTCAATTTTTTTTTATTATTGTTGGCCAGCAATAAATAATATTTCGCAGGTGCGGCCAGACGACGCGGCGCCTGTAATGCGCGGATCGTCGCGCAGATAAAAGTCTGCGCGCGGCGCACCGTGTGCTCTATGTACTTACCTCGGTGTGTGATAAATCACTCGATAAATTGTTTGAAAGCCCGCCGCGCGCGCTCGCCGGCGAGACGTGGAACGGTGGAGCGACGGCAGAGTGAGAGCTGGGAGAAAGAGAGTGAGTGAGTGGGAGAGAGAGAGAGAGAGAGAGAGAGAGAGAGAGAGAGAGAGAGAGAGAGAGAGAGAGAGAGAGAGAGTGGGAGAGTGGGAGAGAGGGGCGGATATCGCTTTTTTTATTCCCGCGGTTTACCTTCGCTAATTGTCGCACACGAATCGCACAACCGTCCGGTCGGGACTAATATTTAATCAGCGCGACTTCTCTCGTCGGCAATCTCGCGCTAATTGGCGCTTGAGTTTTTGGCACACGCCGGCCACGTCGATTAACCACCACCGTTAACGACTTTACGTTAACGACCGTTAACCGACTTGTTCTTTCTGTTCGCAGCATCCGTACCCCTCGGAAGACCAGAAAAAACAGTTGGCACAGGACACGGGGTTGACGATTCTTCAAGTTAATAATTGGTGAGTAGCGCAATAATCTGCATGCATATATGTGCATATATTTGTACGAGGGTGTATCACCCAGTTGCCCTGAAAGCTCAATTCGCGAGAGAGAGAGAGAGAGAGAGAGAGAGAGAGTCTCTCGATTTCTAAGCGCCGCCTTATCGCTCGTGTTTCGCTTGGAGTTTCTTGCGCCTAACATGGCGTAAAGGCCGTAAAAGCCCGATAAGCCTGAAATATAAACGCGTGTCGGCATAAAAAAAAAAGAAATAAAGAAAAACTGCATAAACTTGCGAAACATATATCATCAGCGCGATCGCGTTTGTCGTGAGTATCAAGAGCGGCGATAATCTGGAATTTTATAGGGTGTGTTCGGACTTTGGCGCGCTCGGACGTGTAAACAAATTTATCTCCCGGCCCCCCGTGATCGAAGTCTTCCGAGCGGCGATGACGATCGAAAGCCGCTCACTGTGCGTACATGCGTGCACACGTGTTGTGCGTATGCGCGTGCATGCGCGCGTGCGTGCGTGCGTGCGTGCGTGCGTGCGTGCGTGCGCGCCGAGCGAGAGAGAAACTTTTTCTAGACCGGCGGGCATAAGCGACGGCGGCCGCCGGGCCGGGCCGTCGAATCATACGGCACGTCGCACGTGTCATACGCGAATTCCAGACACCCCGAAATTACGCCCGTACATCAAACGGAACGAGGCGTGCACAAGCGGGACCCCGGCGCGATCGCACGTTGACGTTGCAACGAGCTGATTATTTCAGCGCGCCAATCACGCGAGTACAAACGGCACGGTAGTAGGCGTATATATGCGTGTCAGCGAGAATCGAGGCCGCGAGACGAGGCGAACCGGGTGTGCCTGCCTGCCTGCCTGCCTGCCTGCCTGCCTGCCTGTCGAAATCGGTCGCAATTTGCGTTTTCCATGACCTCAAGGAAGCAGTGATTGCGACGGCAGTTTTCCGCCCGCGATTTAACTCGCTCCGACACGCGCCCGTCATCGATACCCCCCGCGGTCTCGCTCGTCACGTCATGGCGATCGCGCGTAATCGCGATGTAACGACTCTCGTGATGCCGCGAATTTTGCGGGATCGTTATCAGACCCCCGGATAGGGATTGAAAATCCCCTGCGAGATCACGCCGGAATCGCGTACGCTGTCGGCCAGGCTACACACAGGTGTCGTGCGTTAGAAAATTGACACGTAACTGCTAATGCAACTCTGCTCTCCGTATAGGAGAATGAAGAAAAGAAATGATCTCTTTCTCGTCGTCTTTATGAGAGAGCAGTCGGAGCGATTGGGAGATAGCACTTATCGGAGCAGCTCGGGAAGAGAAATGAAGTCGCGCCGTGTCCGCGACCGAGCATACACGGTTTCTCAACAGCGAGATGTCGGAGAACAGCGTGTTCGAGGGAGAAAGAGGGAGAGCGAGAGAGAGAGAGAGAGAGAGAGGAGGGAGAGAAAGGCGAATCGCCGTGTGCTTTCAAGCGCGAGCACGTTGTAAAATCGCCGTTATTAAGAGTAGATTCCGCATTAAATTCCTCGCTACACTTAAGGCCGCTGTTACGCCGCCGCGGAGAGATCATTCCGGCGCCGATAAAGCGGAATTTATTCCGGGGTCGCAGCGACACTAATCGGAAACATTTCGCCGCGAGGGCGCGTCATCGGCCGATCGGAAATATCGGTTTACGTAACTTTTACGACATAATGCAGCGAGTCGTAATCCGCGCGCTTTTCCCATACAATTCACTCGCTCGCATCCGAGAGTTAACACGCCGCGGCCGCGACCGCGCGGCGTGTTTTATCGCGCCGAATCTGCACCGGCGCTCGCCAAAGACAGCTTTACGGTCCATGAAAATATCATTAGATTGCCGGCGCGCCGTCGCGTAAAAATTCGCGTTTCGCTGATATCTCTTCGTGCGGTATCGTGCGGTTTCGTCACTTTCTTCGCACGCGCGTTTCTTCTTCGTCGTCGCGCGAGCGATCGCATCTCCGCGAAGCGAGACCGAGGAAGGCGGAACGGAGTGTGCTGGGGCTTTACGCAACGCATGTTCGTTTGTTCGCTCTCATTATCGCGAATAAATTCCCTCGCCAATGATCCACGTCCTTCGCGCGCGAATCGCGCAGGTGCAAGTAAATGACCTTATCTTATCGCCGTTACGCAGCAACTCGTTAAACACGCGATTTCATCCCGCGCGTCTCGTGTTCCGCCTCGCATTTTTCATCTGAAAACTTGTAATTTGGAAGATTCGACTCCCCGATACTCGCGGCTACATCTGGTTTTCTTCAATTCACAATCAACAACGCTCTCACTTTTGCCCGTTCCGTTCCTCGCGTCGAGAGTTATCGTTGTAATCGCGGTGACATGTATTATACATACAACCAACTAGTGTACTGTTAATAAAAAATTAAAAGGATACGGTTGAATAGAGGGCAAATGAGGATCAAACGATCGACGACAATTAAATTAATGTAACGCAGAGGAACGTATCAGCGAGCTTGTACGGAATGAGCGCGCGCGATTCGCGTTAGAGAATTTCCAGGTAAATTTTCACGGCGGAAGACGCCTCCGACCGGAGCAAACGAGTTTGTTTGTTCGTTCCCGATCGGCGCTCGCGCGCAGTATAACCTCGACGATGCCGAACGCGCCGTGGCTACTTAGACGTGCGAGTAACGCCGCACGTCTGGCGTGCAACGCAACGTTCAAAATAATGTCTCGTCGCCGCCGCTAAGCCAGCTTTCGCGGCTACGCCAGCTGAGAGGACCTTGTAAAACGTTTATGCGCCGCGCTCGCGCTCGCGCTTTATGCACCTTTAATCTCGGCGCGAAGTGCACCGTACTGGATATTACACTAGCCGCTATTATGTAGCGACTTTACGATTTTCGTATCTGGGCCGTCAGTCGCGGGCCGCGCTCGGCTCTCGGCACAATCTCTTTCTCTCTCTCTCTCTCTCTCTCTCTCTCTCTTGCCCGGGGCCGTTTTCCCGCGGCTTTTCTCTCGGCCGTCAAGTGTTCTCCACTGGCTTTCCCGCCGCGAAGAAACGACTTGTCGCCGCTTGTCGTCGGTGGATGCGATACTCCGAATCGGCCGAAATCGCTCTCGTTTGTCCTCTTGCGTCTTTCGGCCGATCTGACTTTTCACCCGGTGCGAATACGTTATCGCAGACCCGCGAAGTCGTTAACGTTCCTGCGGTACCTGGTAGGTACATGCGATTCGCGCTCGAGAACATTTCGCGAAGACGTTGTCGTTGTTGCAGGTGCGACCGATAAGTGTGACGCGCCGTACGGGGGCGATTACCTTAACGGCCGGGGCGCGTATTTACGGCCCGCGAATCGCTCGTCATTAGCGTAGGCAGCGTACGGGTATCTCGGCGAATGCGAACGAGGCACGGGAACGCGGGATTACGAAACGCTCGCGCAGACCGATGGTCGGAGGCGACGAAGGATCGAAAAATGAAGAAAAAGAGAGAGAGAGAGAGAGAGAGAGAGAAAATACAGAAAAGGAAAAAACGAGCGCGAGAGATCGCGCCGCGAGATAACGCGACGGCACTTTACGGTCGTCTTTGGTACCACTCGCAATTTACGGATCCAAGAATGTAGTCCGCGAGATCTCGCGTTTATCTGTAATGACGGTAATTAATAAATTGCCGCTCGCGGCCGTTACGCGTCATAAGAATAAATTCAAGTATGTGTGTGTGTGTCTCTGCACTTAAGGCGGAACTTCGCGGGCGCACCGTCGCAGCTTCACCGTCGTCCTCCGCCGTGGCGCGGCTTACGCAACGCGACGTCCAGGTTAATTATTCCGAGCGCAGAAATCCCGCCGATTCGTTTACCGTAATGAAATTACGTTTTTCTTCTCGAGCCTTCGCGTTGCTTTTTCGCGTTGCGCAACGGCGATCGTTTCTCGATAAAGTTCCCAAGCCGATATTCCCCGCTCCTCCTTCCCCCCTCCCTCTTCGACGATATTTCCGGCGGTGCCGGAATGTAAATTATTACACAACGCTCTCGGATTTAATTCTCCGCGACTCGTCGCTGGCTGGGAAAGACGGAAAATTGTGCGGACGTTTCTGCCGCTAAGTGGCATTTCATGTTTTCATCATTTTAATCATTTTATACTCTTTCTCTCTCTCTCTCTCTCTCTCTCTCTCGTTCTTTCTCGACAATTAATTTTGCGAAACTTCAAAGTTTCAGTCTCGCTCATACGCTTCCGAGACTCGTGAACGATCGCACGAGAACACGAGCGCGTCGTCGTGCACGTTAAATATCCACGTGATTCGTCATCGGCCACGAGAAGAGACCCGGTCGTCGCAGACGGCTTCCTCGCAGAGTCGCGTCTCCAGTTCCGTCGGCTTCTCGAATTTCTGCCGACGATCGCTTTCCGATAAAATCCCGAGGCGCGATAGCACCGATATTTTCGGGACTCGTGAATTATTAGTCGGCCAAGCGGCCGTTACCGCGGCGAGAACGCTTCTCGAAAATACGATTGTCCTCGTCGCCGTCGCCACCGTTAATTCCCTGCGATCCGATATTAGCTGGAAAGGGTTAAGACGACGCGCGGCGAGAGAAGCGAGCCTCCAAAAGAGCTTAGTCCTTTCTGTCCCGCGGCAATCCCCCGTTTCTTCGAGTTGATCCACCTAGCCAGCCAGCCAGCCAGCCCCTGTCTTCTTCCGCCCGTCCTTTCGTCCCACGGGGAACTCGGCCCCCGGTTTGTCTCGCGCCCCCAATCTCGCCATCTTGATAGATGTTTCCGCGTGGCACCTGCGCCGGCATCCGAATTACGGCCGGGCCCTGTTTACCGTGATATTTAAGCGACGTAGTCGCGTCACGACCCGCTACCCTTCCCGCGACTCTCGCGTCCGCGACGCGCTGCTCTCTCTCTCTCTCTCTCTCTCTCTTCTCTCTCTCTCTCTCTCTCTCTCTCTCTCTCTCTCTCTCTCTCTCTCTCTCTCTCTCTCTCTCTCTCTCTCTCTTCCTCCCTCTTGTCGCGGATGAAAGCGTGTCGCGCCGCGGTAATCTCTTCG